TTTTTAATTTTTGTCAATTTTTGGCTAGCATCATAACTATACATGCTCTATATATAGACTTGTTTTTTTTAAAAAAAAATAATAATAAATTTTTTTGTTTACTTTTTTAGATTTGATAATTTGGTTAGTATTTAATTTTAAAATCAAATTGGTTATTGTTACCGATCACTTGCTTAACTCGAAAGAGTATAAAATATATCTGATTTATTAAACAATTAAAAATGTGTACTTTTTTTCCAAAATTTTTGCGCATCTTTTAATTTGTAATATAAAGCAATTTGGCGAAAACCTACTTTGTACAAAGATGGTTTTAAAAAAAACCAACAATTAATTATTGTTACCAATCACTTGCTAACTCGAAAGAGTATAAAATATATCTGATTTATTAAACAATTAGAAATGTGTTTCTTTTTTCCAAAATTTTTGCGCATATTTTACTTAGTAATATAAAGGAATTTGGCAAAAACCTACTTTGTACAAAGATGAGTTTTAAAAAATTTTAAAATTAACAATTAATTATTGTTACCAATCACTTTCTAACTCGAAAGAGTATACAATAAATTTTTCTTTTACATTTATTCCTATATACATATGTAAATGATGATTAGAACATTAAACAACAACAATAATGATTATAGTGATATTAAATATAAGTTAAAATAAAAGAGAAATTTATATAAACTATTGAATGATTGATAAAACCTTCGTTAGTATATTTTGTTCATAGATCTTGCCCTTAAAATTTACTTCAATTACTCCTATATAAACTATTGAATAATTAATAAACGTTTGTTGAATATTTTGTTCATAGATCTTGTCCTTAAAACTTACTTCGATTACTCCTACATAAAACTATTGAATGATTGATAAACGTTCGTTAGAATATTTTGTTCATAGATCTTGCCCTTAACACTTGTACAAACTATTGAATGATTGATAAAACGTTCGTTAGAATAATTTGTTCATAGATTTTGCCTTAAAACTTGCTTCGATTACTCCTACATAAGCTATTGAATAATTAATAAAACGTTTGTTAGAATATTTTGTTCATAGATCTTGTCCTTAAAACTTACTTCGATTACTCTACATAAAACTATTGAATGATTGATAAAACGTTCGTTAGAATATTTTGTTCATAAATCTTGTCCTTAAACTTACATCGATTACTCCAACATAAACTATATGAATAATTAATAAAACGTTCGTTAGAATACTTTGCAATCTTCATAGAACTTGTCCTTAACACTTGTACAAACTATTGAATAATTGATAAAACGTTCGTAAGAATATTTTGTAAGCTTCATAGATCTTGTCCTTAACGCTTGTACAAACTATTGGATAATTGATAAAACGTTCGTTAGAATATTTTGTAAGGTTCATAGATCTTGTCCTTAAAACTTACTTATACAAACTATTGAATATTTGATAAAACGTTCGTTAGAATATTTTGTTCATAGATCTTGTCCTTAATGCTTGTACAAACTATTGAATAATTGATA